AACCTAGAACTCCCTCACGGAGACCTATCTAGTGGAAGTCCGTAACGCCCGAAGGCAAACAGTCTACTGGCCAGAGACACGGTACATCCTATGTACCAACACACATACAATATGCATGAACATGTTATCCTATATTATTTACATACACTTCCTACCATTACCCTCAACAGGCATGGTGGAACACACAAGAGGATCAAACCCCAGTACCAAGAGGTTACCTGTATAATCCTCTCCCACAGCTCCAATGCAATATATTTCCTGAGCTAGGTACACAAACAGAATGCCTACACAGAGAACATTCCCAATTAATTTTCCATTCACCAACACATGGAATTCATCAAGTACATATGCATGGTTCCAAAAGACTTACCTCAATCCTTTTTGGTCCGGGACCAAGGGCAACCCACCGAGCTCACGGTTCGGGGTTCAAATCCAAGAAAGACAACCTACAATGACCACATACGGATCATCAACACACGGTAAATCTATCAAAATCCAAAAACGTCAAAATTCACCCCCACCAAGGGTGTGGTTCGACCATTATAGTGTTAAAATACCAAATATTTTCTTTCATTTTCTTTTATTTTTCTTAAGCATTCTAAGGCTACCCCAATGTCATTTTAGGTGCCGCTTTTCATTTTACACCATCCCAACGTCATTTTTGCCATTTATTTCACTCTAGGAACAATTTCCATTTCTACACAATCCATCATTTTTCCTTTGCTTTCCTAAGCATCCAACCATCATACAACCCTTCAACACAATATATCAATCATCCAATTTCACAACATCAATTTCCTATTTTTCCTCACATGGCCGAATTGTACCTCACCATACACCAAGGTTTATTCACTTCAATTCAACTATTCCACACCTCATACAATCACATTATTAACTCATACAATCATCCAACAACTCAATTACACAATTACATAACCAACCCAATTTCACCAATTCATGGCATCACACTAAAAATTTCACTAAGTTATCATCAATTTTCACCAATAAATTTAATTGCATTTATGACTCTCACACATCATTCTAAGACATATTTATCTAATACACATTTTCCATTTGAGCTCTTAACTACACCAATCACACAAAATCACTCTAGGGTTCATGAAATTAAATCAATTAATCCAACCATTAAAATGTGATGAAACTTACTCAATAGCTTGGCCTAGGACTCCTCCACATCATACTAAACCATTGGAGTATCAAACAACTCCATGAGTGCAAATCTTCACACCTGGGTCGCGGGATTGGGGGAGGGATTTCTCAAAATCTAGTGGGTTTCATGGCTCAAGGCTACCACCAATGTGTTTGGGAGGTGATTTCCAACAAATTTTAAGTCAAACTTTGCTTGATTTGGTGGAGTTTTGAGTGAGTTAGAGGAGAAAGAAAATCAAAGCAAATGGGTGTGGGGGAGAGGGGAAGCCGCGGGTTTGTGGAGAGAGAGGAGGGGAGGAGATGATGCATAGTAGGCTATGCACATGTGGCATGTCACACTTAAGTAGGGTAGGTCCCACCGCCGCCTCACGCGTTTCAAATTAATTCAAATCTCCCGCCTAATTCACTAAACGTCCGAAATTTCATAACCTATTTAGAAACTCTAATTTTTAACATTAACCATTGTCCTTTAATTACCCTTGATCAGATGAATCCAGAGTTTTCCGGTCTTTCGGAGAAAATGCAGTTTTAAGCTGTTACGCGCGCCGTAGGCACGCTTCCCCAAACTTAATAATTTCCACCAGAATTCATATTTCCTAGTCCTATGTGCCATTTATAACTTGTATTCAAAACCTAGAGCTCAAAATTCAATCGGCACGCTTTACGGTGCAATTATACCGCGATAATTTTACTCGGTAAAAATACTATTCACTGAATTTTCTGAAACTTGCCTAACCACTCAATTTTTTGTTCTGAATCCATTTCCAGGGTTATTTTTATCATCTGAGACCTCTTACTCAATTTTACCTTCCTAGGATTGCGTATTTGGCTAATTACCGTTTTACCCTTTCTTTGTATTTTAACTTAATTTCCAAGATTTTCACTAATCCTTCCCTTTAATCCACATTTAATATATTAATATATAATTTAGAATTGCGAGGTGTTATAAAATCGGGCTTGCCCTTTTGCTACCACTTAACATCAAATAACCTTAAGTCACTTTTGCTAAACACTTTTAGAGCCACCACTTTATCTTCTTTGTCCCTTCTTCATCTTCTTCAATGCCACTTCATCTTCTTAGGCCCCACAACTCCTGCATAATTTGAAGTTTTTCTCACTCTTGATTTATACATGCGGATGATTTTTTTCAATTCTTCATCTTATTTAGTCACATACACCATTTTGGGTGGATTTCTTTTCCAAATCATACAACATGTGATCCCACTGATAGCTCTCTATGATCGCTATCTTGTGTATTTTATTTCCAATTTCCTCACTTTTTGTTGTTAATTTTTGTTACTTAGAGCCAATTTTGCATTCAAGGGCGCTTTTTTGTACAGAGGGCCAGAACAAATCGTGAATTATGGAGCGATGACATAACTGATATAAAATGACTTAAATTAATTACTTTTTGGGCTTAATATGTTTTTTTATATTTTAGGAGTCTTTTGATCAATTTGAGAGGTCCCATCCATAACCTAATGCAATTACTTGAAGGAATGGAGAAAAAGGCTGAAAAAGGGAGCATATAATGATTGCTAAAAAAAGTGGCAGGAGTGAGAGAAGAAATCACCTGCTACAAGCAACCAACTACTAATGAGAATAGTCCCATCAGTTTTTGCAACACCGAACACACGATTTCAAAGAAAAAGCTGAAGGAAAAAGTAAAGCAATCCATACAACCTAGGTTGAGCTGGTAGGAGCAACATCCTTTTTCAGGAGCAAAATGCAATCCTCACTATTGGATCAGGATCAATGGCCAAGATATCACCTTTGAAGGATTTGAAGCGTATACATAGTAGGGAAGACCAACATTTTAAGAATCTTTTGGTAGTTTTTTACAAGCTTCTTCATCCTCCTCAATGTTCTCCTCCATTTTTCCAGTTTTTTTTTTTGTAATTTATGCAAAGATGCTCCTTAGTATGAGCTAAGTCTTTTTAGTAGGCAAAGGGGAAGTAGAATAACCCTCTTAGTCTTAGGTTGAACTTATTATGTAAATCTGTTCTCATAAATGGAATTTGTGTTGTTCCTTGTTTTTATTGTTCCTGTTGGTGGTATAGTCAAGGGAAGAAAAAAATAAGCATAGGGTAGTCGCTCTCGGGAGGGAGGATTAATACCCAGAACTAGGGAGCACTATTGTGTGCGGACTGCTACGATCTCCCTTCAAAGAAGTGATGGTAGCACAATCTCCCTCGAGTCTTAATTTAATGAGACTTCTAAGATAGTTTGGTGTGAAGAGGCTTGTTGCTCCAGATTACCTTAGTTGTTAAAACTTGGTGACAGAGAATTTGTCTCCATAGCCTTAAAGGTGGTTGAAAGAGATTTTGTTTTAGGAATAGATGAACTTTTAGGAATAACCAAGAGTGGCAAAAATACCAACCTAAGTCTATGCCTTTTTATTATCATTAATATCTTATCTTTGTTCTACTGTTACTCTTACACTTTGTTCGCAACGTTCAAGGATTTCCAAAAACATAATTTTTCTCTTTGCTCTTTGTTTTCTTTTCTGCTCTCAACTGAATTGTTTTCTGACTTTTCCAAAGTAACAACTCAAACTAAGACTAAGGGAGAAACCCAACGCTTAGTCATTTCAGAGTCATTGACATTGTTCAATATAACTGGTGAGAAGCACTTTTTGGCTAACCTTAATCTAGGGACGGTTTGGCTCCTTGGTAAAAATTGCTCTCTGTTTACTGTTTTGATATTTCACTTGTTTTCTTGTGTACGTTTGTTTCAACGCATCTTTTACACTTACATCCATGAGGATGATAATTTGGGCTCATAAAAACCCTATATTACTTGATGTGTAACTTGCACAACGTGGATAGATTTGCTCTTGAGATATATATTTGCTCCTTGAACATACAATTTGTTCTTTACATTTTTTTTGCTCCCACAAATACAATGAGCAAATCTCGGCCTAACCGACAAGCATCCACCATTTATGTAGTCTTCCTTAGCAATTCTACGTAATCCGACTATCTTTCGATTTAACAATTGTTTTGGATCTATCACTGATGAAGAGATCGCAAAATCGTATACGCGATTTTGACTACCATGTCTTATGCAATACAAAAAATAAAATAAAATAAAAATCTATATTGATATTAAATAAGATCCATAAAATAAGGAAACAAATCATCCTTAATTTGTATATGCTATATAAATAATTAATACTAATTCTAAACTATAAAAATTGAAATAGTTAATATCATTATAAATAAACTTTAATAAACTCCTAATATAATCTTCACTCAATTAAATAATCATTATTAAGAGGGATAATATATTCTACTTATTTTTTTATGCCTATCTTACCTAATCATCCCAACCCATTAAATTAGAATCTCAACTAACTTTTATCATTTATCTCTTCTCTTGAGATTGTAATCCAATAATGTTAGAGATGAGTAGGTAGAGTAGTCATGAAAAAAATAGGCATAATATCCTATTTGACTGTGTATTTTTTTTTGTTTTTAAAACTGTTTTGTAGAATAGTTATAAAATAAGTATTTTGTGTATTTTTTTGTTTTGAAAGTTAAAAATCAAAATACAAAACAAAAATAACTCAAATTTGTTCTCTAAATTCAATTCTAAAAATAAAAAATAGTTACAAGCTTTAACATTTTATTTTTTTACAAGAAAAACCTTATCAAACATATTTTTTTTATTTAATTTTTTTTGTTCTCAAAATAAAAAAATGAGGTTAATTTTTAAGGCTTATAAAATAAAAGAATACAAAAATAATAAATAATAACATTTGTCTTCCTAGAGTGACATGGTTATATTATAGATTATTGTAACGTGGCACTCATGCCTTCGATAGTTACCATGGGTCGCTTCCTCTCCCTTCTCTCACAAAACTCTGCTCCATAAAAGCACAAGCAACAACACCCTATGCATCTTCATTTTCATCTTCCTTCTCTTCCTCTTTCATCGGCGCCACCAACCAAATCGGAAAAAACTCCGATCGCCGATTCCCCCGGAAAAGCTCAACTGTGTTCACCAGCAAACTAAAGGGGGTTGTGATTGATGATGGCGAAGAAGAGAAAATCTATCGCCACAAGCCTCGATGAGGTGGATCGAACCATGTACGCGTCGTTTTGCACTGCCGCTAATTCTCTTTCACAGCTTTATACTCACGCCATGAATCACCAGAAGCTCTCTTTCCATGCCGGCGAACGCCACGCCCTCGTAAAAATCCCCTTCCTTTTCTTAATTCTTCAATTTGGGTTTTCCTTTTTTATCAAATGGGTACCTGATTTTGCAGAAAAAATTGTTTTTTTATTTATGCAAAAAAAAGTGGAATTTAGATTTAATTATATATGTCTGTTATTTTATTTTCTGGGGTAGTTTTTGTATTTTTGTTTGTTTGTTGCATATAACTTTAGATTGGTATCTCTCATTGCAATTTTGTTTAGAGAGAACAGTTGATGGATTTTGACATTTTGTTTTAATTTTTTTATGGAAGTGTGTCCATGCTCAATTTTCTGTTGGGATAGATTTGGATGGCAAATATGCTCATTGTTCTTTTTGTCTATTTCTTTGTAATCTTTTGTAGCTTGGGTGCTATTGTGAGGAATTTGAAAATCTGAGAATTTCTTCTGACATGCTTGAATCCGTGTTCTGTATATAGTTTGAATGCTGATAACTTCAAGAAGAATTAGTAGCTGCTTCTGGCATGCTTACATTTCTGAAATTTTCTGCCATTCTAAGATCTTTTACTCCTTTCTTTTTTGTGTTCGTTTTGACTTCCCTTTTGACCTTATTTTCAGTTCATGGATATTCACTATTCTATATTTGTGCACCTTTTATACAGCTTAATTGGTTGTGTATAGCTGCAGGTAGCTATCATAATTATTTTCTATGCTATTTTTCTTGTTGGGAATCAAGTACTTTGGTATTCGTCACCTTTTCAGAGTTTTAGCTTGACTTGCTACCTCCTTTTGTTGTTTTTGTTTGGAAATAGGTCATGAACTGCTAGTTTTCTGTTTAGCTATAGTATAATTCATGTATCTAATCAGGGCTTTGTTCTTCTGTTTGGTGTTTTGACCATGTGTTGATATTTTATTGTGGGATGTTCTTCTGATTTCAGGAAAAACTTTATCAGTGGATTTGGAGAGAACAAGAAGGAGGATCAAGGGTTGCAACAATTGATGTACTTAACTACATTCAGGTTGGCTTTAAAGTTCTCCCTCTTACATGGACTATAGTATCATTAATGCATGCTTTTGCTGATTGGGAGTGGGGGACTCTGACTCTGTGTGTGTAGCTAACAAACATACAATACACACAAACACATACAGAGGACTGATGTGTAGCACAGGCACACACTTAAACACATGTGTACATGCATGTGGAGAGAGATAGAGGGATGGACTATAGTAATTGATGGATATTAGTTGCAAGTAAGTGCATTATTACAAATGTATTATATATGAAAGGACAACAGATCAGCAAAACTGGTTTAGTTCAGACTATATTTCTTAATGTAATAGTGTATTGTTTTAAATTGCAGTTGCTTTGAAATTACAATTTTTTTGGACAATTGCAAGAAAGTACTACAGCTGATGCAGCCACAATTGTGGTTGCAGATGCCACCAAAACCACAATATTGCGGCTGCAACTGTGGTCATAACCGTGTAATGGACTATTGACCTCGTCATGGGCTGGGTTTACCCTTGAGGTGTTGAAGTTTTAAGTGGCCTGAACCAAGCCTTGCTAAAGGCTTTATAAAATTAAGCCCTTAGTCCATCCATGATCAGGAGTGAGTTTTTGTAGCACAGGGAAACATTCTAGAATTTGCCTTTTTGTAAAATAGTATGTTTTCCTTTTGTATTCATTCATCAGCTTTCTGTTGAAAATTTGATATTTTAAAGTAAAAGCATTCACTGGTAGGGATACTTGCTTAATTAATTAAATGTGTTTCGTTTTCATAGCCAGGGTCAGTGTTATTGTGTTAGTACCCTTTACCAGCCAGTCTTTGGTAACAAACTTTTCTCATTTTGCTATGTTATTTTTCCTTTTGGTGTTGCAGTTATTCCTCTCTCCCTGCTCTTTCTGGCATGTCTAATTAGATTATTGAACTAATGTCGCCTGTTATTCTGTATAATATATTCATATTGATTCAATCACTAAATTTTCTGTAATCTATCTGAGATAGTCATATTCGCACCTTGTTTAAAATCTAAGTAGGTAAAAATCCAAGTGGGAAAACCCATCTCATTTCTTCGATGGATAAAAGCTATACTGTCCCCTCCATGTTTCATTTTCTACAATTATATAATATGTGGCATCTATTTAGCATAACTGTGCTATTTTTAAATTTTGCAAACATGCTTAATTGAAATTTGTTATCCCACTTGTGGGCTTCAGAAGGTACAAATGGCCCTGGGAAGTGGTGATTGACAAAGGAGTATAGGGTAAACTAAAAGATAATAACAAGTTCCTTTCTCTTTCCTCTCTTTTTATTAGTGTATAAAGATAGGGATATTTCTGTTAATAGCCAAGTGGCTTAGTTTCATTAGAATATCATATGACGTGGCTGTATCTTCTCCTTATATAAAAGCTTTCATGTACTGTTCACATTCAGATAATAAATATATGAAATACACAATTTATCTCTCCTTGTTCTCTCTCTCCTTTTTCTCTCGTCTTCTTCAGATCTCTTTGATGGTATCAGAGCTCTCTTTTTGAGGGCCTGATACAGATCGCGCCTTACTATGTCTACCGCTTCGAAATCATCGTCACTGTCTCCTTCTCTGTCTACAACCGGAAATACAACCGAAAATGCTTCGACCGAGAATCACTCGTCGTCTTCTCCTTCGCTATTCAGCCACCAAATCTCTGTTAGACTAACAGAGAGTAATTTTCTTCTCTGGAATCAGGTTGTAGAACCTGTAATCATCTCTCATCAGCTTCAACACTTTCTTGTTAGTCCTAAAATACCACTTCAGTTTGAATTGGAGCAAGATCGCGTAGATGGAGTCGTCAATCACCTGTACACTGAGTGGCTTCGTCAAGATCAGATGCTTCTCTCTTGGATCCTTTCCACCATTTTAGAAGAATTCTTGAACGAAATCCTCGGAGTTAGCCATGCATATGAAGCTTGGGAGCAGATCCATAAGTTTTTTGAAGGAATGATGAAGTCTAAAGCTCACCAGCTTAGATCTGAACTTCGTACCATCAAGAAAGGTGGAAGATCCGTTGCTGAGTACCTCAGACGCATCAAATCTCTCTGTGACGAACTAAAAGCGATCAAAAGTGCATCCAGTTGATGAACAAACTGAGTTGATACTAGCTGGCCTTCCTGCTGAGTTCAATGCCTTTGTTACCTCTGTCAGAGCACGTGAAAATCCTTATTCACTCAATGATCTACGAGTTGAACTGATGGCTCATGACAACAAAATGAAGCTCTTCTCTCTGATTCAATGACTGTGAATGTTGTACAGAAGATCTCTCCTGATTCAAAAGAAGCAAACATATCTGAATTAGCACCTGTAAGATCTCCTCTTAACGTCGTGCAACCAAATCTGGATCAAAATACATATAATCAGAGATCTTATGGTCCAAATTATGGAAGAGGCAGAGGTAGATCCTATACTCGAAGCAACAGAGGAGCTAGAGGACGTGGACGTAGCAATGCTCAATGTCAGCTCTGTTATAAATTTGGTCATGGAGTTCAGAGCTGCTGGTACAGATTTGATGAGAACTTTGCACCTGAAATCCCTGCTCCTGAAGCTCCTCAGTATTTTCCATCAGCACAATCTTCGTTTCAGAGGCCATATCAATATAGCAGATCTCCAGCTCCAAATCAACCTCAAGCCTTGGTAACCCATCAACCTCAAGCCTTGATAACCACTCATCAACCTCAAGCATTGCTAACTGCCAATCCAGCTCAGGGACAAGGTCTTCTCCCCACTCCTTCGCACATTCAAGCAATTAAGTGGTATCCAGATTCAGGTGCATCTCATCGTGTAACTACCAATCCTCAGAACCTGTTGCAAAGCACACAACTATCTGGTGCTGATCAGGTTTACATAGGGAACAACCAAGGTTTGAAAGTGAATGCTATGGGTTCTTCTTCATTCTCTTCTCCACTTAAACCACACACCTCTTTGCATCTTAACAATCTTCTTCTTGTTCCTTCTATAACTAAAAATCTGATCAGTGTGAGTCAGTTTGCTAGAGATAATGGTGTTTATTTTGAATTTCACCCTCTTACTTGTTGTGTGAAATCTCAGGCATCTCATGAAGTCCTGTTGGAAGGTGTCTTAGGACCAGATGGACTATATTGCTTTCAAGGAGTTCAACTTTCTCCCAACTCAAGTCAGCAACTGAGTCAACATTCTTCCATTTCTGTTTCAACCATTACTTCATGTAGTCCACCACCAAGTAGTAGCCTAGATTTTCCTAATACAGTTCCCACTGATGTAGTCACACAGTGTACAGCTAATATTGCTTCTAGCTCTGTAAAAGCTGTAGGTTCCAACTATATGTACTCACGATTGGGGCATCCTCACACTGAGGCCCTCAACTCTGTTCTAAAGCTTTGTAATATTCCTACTTTTAATAAAACAAATGATGAATTTTGTTCTGCCTGCTGTTTGGGTAAAATTCATCGTTTACATTCAGCCCCTTCAACCAAAGTATATGCAAAACCTTTTGATTTGGTTTTTAGTGATCTCTGGGGATCAGCCCCTGTTAAATCCACAATGGGCTTTGCATATTATATATCATTTGTAGATGCTCACTCTTTTTACACTTGGATTTATCCTCTAAAACATAAATAAGAAGCCTTAACTATCTTTACTCAATTCCAAGCACTTGTATCAAATCATTTTCAGTTCACTATAAAAGCCCTACAAACTGACCGGGGGGGGGGGGGGGGGGGGGGGGGGGGGGGAGAGTTTCGTTCCTTCAATCAACTACTCAAACAACTTGGTGTAGTGCATAGAATAGCTTGCCCCCACACTCATCATCAGAATGGTGTAGTAGAAAGGAAACATAGGCATATTGTTGAGACTGGACTCACTCTTCTTGCTCATGCATCCTTACCCATCAAATTATGGGATCATGCCTTTATCTCTGCTGTTTACCTCATTAATTCCCTACCCACTGCTGCCTTACATTTTGAAATTCCCTTTATAAAGTTACACAAAATAGTCCCTGATTACAAGTCATTCAAAGTCTTTGGTTGTGCATGCTTCCCTTTCCTCAGACCCTACAACAATCATAAATTGGAATTTCGAAGCAGTGAATGCATTTTTCTTGGTTATTCTCCAAGTCACAAAGGCTACAAATGCCTTAATTCCTCTGGGAGACTTTTTATCTCAAAGGATGTACTATTTAATGAAACCAAATTTCCTTATCCTTCCTGGTTTCCTTTGAATACTACTACTGCCCCTAACCTTTCCCATCTGTTTCAAATTTAATTCCTCTGGTGACTCCTACACTTGACATCCATCATTCAGAATCAACTTCCAGCAGTGGTGGTACCAACTCAACTATTTCAAGGTCTCCAAACAACACCTCATCTACACCAACATCAACACCAACACGCAACTTTCCTCTCCCAGCACCTACATCTTCTTGCTCAAGTCCAACTTCATCAGCTTCTAACAGTGGTGGCACCATCAGTCTAGGTTCCCTTATTGCAATTTCTTTTAGTCCTTCTTCCTCTTCTTCTAACATTAGTTCTGGGTCTGAATAGTTCCATTTGGTCCCCTTCCTTCCTCACCTAATCACTCTATCACCACTCGGTCTAAAACTGCTAAGATGCCTCAAATACTCTTAACCTCTCTTGAGCCCAGCACAATCACACAGGCCTTGGCCAATCCTAATTGGCTTTCAGCTATGCAGTCCGGGTTTGATGCTCTTCAGGCAAACTGCACTTGGTCTTTGGTATCTCTTCCTCCCAATAGAACAACTATTGGCTGCAAATGGGTCTTTCGAGTCAAAGAAAATGCAGATGGCTCTATTAATAGGTACAAAGCTAGATTGGTGGCTAAAGGTTTCCATCAACAAGCAGGCTTTGATTATTCTGAAACTTTCTCTCCAGTTGTAAAGCCCATCACTATCAGAACTATTCTAACTATTGCAATTTCTTTTGGCTGGACACTCAGACAGCTAGATGTTAATAATGTCTTTCTCAATGGCACCCTTGAGGAGGAGGTT